AGCGGCCTAAACTTTGGACACAGGTTGAGCAAAGTCAGGGCCTCGCTAAATTCCCCTCTTCAGATAAGCTCTTTTTAGAGTATTTTTGTCATGTGTTTCAAGCCCCATCTCACTCTGCACTAACATACTATATTAAAGTTTAGCAAAGATTGTGAGAAACCAGAGTGGGGTGCCTCCTTCAGGGGACAAATGACCTGATAAATTAGTCTGCTGGAATGTTAAATTAAAAAACAACATGGCCTGAGAAACATGTGGCAGACCTTATGCCCTATAGGAGTATTTGGCCTTATTTGATTTATATCCTAGGGATAGTACCTACACCACCGCCCTCCCTCCCTCCACCAAGTCATGGCTGCTAGCCCTGGATAATAACGATAATAATATCTAGTATTTATATAACACTTTCAGGTTAGCAAAGAACTTTCTAAATATTATCTCATTTTATCCTCATAACAATTTTATCCCATTTTACTGATGAGGAAACTGAGGCACATAGCAGTTAAATTACTTGCCTACGGTCACACTGCTAGTAAGAACTGGGGCTAAATTCGAATTTAGGTGTTCCTGACTCCAGATCCAGTGCTCTGTCCACTGTGCCACCTAGCATCTCTGGGAATAGGGAGTGAAGAAGGACACTCACCTCATTCACATCAATGTCTTGTCTGGCAGGATAGTCTTCCACCAAGACCCATTTAAAACTTTGGCTGGGTATGTAGTAATAATAATACTTAATACTTACGTAGCACTTTAAAGTTTACAAAGCAACACCCTGTGAGGTATGTACTATAAGTATTACCATCTCCATATTACAGATGAGAAAACTGAGTCTCAGAGAAGTTAAGTGACTTTCCCGAGGTCATACAACTAGTCAGTTTCAGAAGCAGGACTTGAACCCTGATCTTCCTGACTTCAGGTCCAATATTCTGTCCACTTTGCCACATTGCCTCCATAAAATATGGGCAAAGAAAGGCAGAAAAGGAAGAGGCACCTTGGAGTGGAGAAGAGAAAATAAATGACTCTTACACTTCTTCCTCATGGCCTAGCTCAGTGCAAGACACAAGTTCTGCAGCTGATAAATACTGAATCAAATTAAAGGGTTAGAGGGAAGAGGAAGAATGGCTGGCATCACATGGACTTTCCAGTTTGTGGGGTAGTAGGAGCCCTCCAGCTAAAGGTTCTTCCAAAGAAAATGGAGAGAGAGAGTAGAGCATGTGTATTTATAAACAAGTCCAAACTGAGTGCTCTCAAATACTCAAGTGGACCTGTTACAGTGTTATTAGTATTAACTGTTATCAGTTCCAGTGATGCAAATCAAAACACCTTCATGCCTGGCCATCCTCTGCAACTCTTGACCATGTTCTCCCAACGTTTGACACAGAGTGGGGATCCAATTGTCTGGAGGCCGTCCTTGCTTTCTCCCAACGTCACAGGGGTGCCATGGATGACTCTGGCTATCCACCTATCATTCCTTGCTCTTGTCACATGACCAGCCCATTTTTGCTTCCTGTCATATAATTCCTTGAAGACATCCTTTAACTCTTGTTCTTCTCTGGAGTTCCTCATTTGTTACATGTTGCAGCTTGTTCATGGCCACAATGCTCTTCTCCATTGCAACCCAAGAAACAAACCAAGCAGGGCAAATTGAAATAACTCTAACTTGGCCCCTTATTCTTTGCTCAGGACTGAACAATGGGTAGCTTGAAGCCCAGACCTCATCCCTCCTTAGGCATCATTGTGATTCCTGATCTTGACCTCGTTTCCAGTTTAGATTCTACCACCCCCACCTTTGCTCCTATCAGCTTTATTGTTGGTCTCTCCTGTTCTTGATCTTAGATTATTTGTCTAATGACAGCAAAGAAATTGTTCTTCAATCCCTTTTCCCTTTCATTTCTGACTTTCTGTGACTATCCAAACAAGGGATGGTTTACAGCCCTGAACAAGAACACAAAGAAAATTATAGATATTAGGTTGAAAGATATAATCTGAGGAAAAAAGAAAGAAGTCAGAGCTGTATCCAGTGTACAGAAGAAGCTAGCCAAGGGGTAGCTTGGTGTCTTTGCTATAGCTTATAAGAGAGTGGATGGGTGACATGACAGGGAGCACAAGGCACCTAAAGGTAAGACAAGGCAGAGGGTCAAATGCCTGCCAACTTATGGTGTCCAACATATGACAACAGCAACAAAGAGGACTTAAAAATAAGGTCAAATGTACTTCAGATGGGAAACCTTCCTGCTTGAGAAGATAATTCCATGGCCTTCCTCCAAATAGAAAGAGAACAATAGTTGACTAGTAAACTTGTTTGGAATGGTCAGAGTGGACTCTGATAGCATTTCCCTCCTCATCAACTAAGAATATCACATTGACACTGTAGGGGCTGGTTGAAATACACCTGATAAAAGATGCAGACATGGGTACAGTCTATGGATTCGGAAGAATGGCCATCAGGACCATAACCCTCTAGTCCTCAAAACAGTAGCAATGATCCCACCCTTTCTCAGCCCACAGGATCTTCAAGGCCCTAGGCAAACTCGGGTGGAAATGGGGAAGTGAGAAAGGCTATGAAACCAGGAAATAGGCTGATCTGATATGAGCTACCTTTGAGATGAAGAATTGGGTAGATCTTCAGGGTGATTGAAGTGATAATTTATATATAATTGAAGTTATATAGTAGAGGGTGGGATAGGAGCCTTAGAGCTAACTGAGAAAGGGTCATTTGGTTCAGTGGTGGTCCGTGAAAACACAAATTATGTTCTCTGACAACAAGCTGGATTCCTTCCAGCCCCAGTAAATCCCCGTGTTCTTTTTGTTCTCCTTGGCCTCACCCAGGAATTGGATAAGGCCCTTCTAAGCTATATAGAGATGTATTTTCTTGATCACTGGTACAGCAAAGAACAGAACTAGAATTAATGGGTAGAAGTTACAGGGATGTAAATTTTAACTAAATATTAAGAAAAACTTCCTAACAATTAGAGATGTTCCGCAATAGAATGGACTGCCTTGTAAAATGGTAAACTCTCCATCACTAGGGTCTATAAGTCTAAATCAGAAGATAATTTGTCAGGGAGGTTATAGAAGGAAGCTAGAATTAGAAAACCTATTTTTAAATTTCTTCAAACTCTGAGATTACATGGGTCTCTGACATATGACAAGGAAAGCCCAGTACAATATGTCTGTGAGTGCTGTCCATAAATAATTCAGGCAGAATACACACTGAGGAAAGGATGCATGCTGGACATTACCAGATAAAAATTTGACCATGAAGAGAATGGCCCCAATCAACATCAGAAAACACCAAAGGTATGGCTTGATGACATGCTTTATCCTTTCTGCTTCTCCATTGGACTGTGGTTTACAGGCAGAGGAAAACTGTGGTTGGATGTGGAAGCATGACAGGAATGCTTGCCAGAATCAGGAGATAAATTTAGAGTCACAATCAGAGGTAATGCTTTTGGGAAAGCTATCAAAGTGAAAGACATGGTCCAAGGCCAGTTGGACTGTTTGAAAGGCACCAGGTAAACTTTGGATGGGGATAAAGTGCACCATCTTAGTCAAAGTGCCCATTATTTTTCCCTCTGAAGGGAGACGAAAGGATAGTGATGAAAGATATAATCTGAGAAAAAATGAAAGAAGTCAGAACTGTATCCAGTGTACATGTTGAAACCCAGTGAGATGTTGGCTCATGGGCCTTGATGAGGTTCAGCAAGGGCTGAAGTGGACCTTACCATGACATATTTGAAGTGATCAGGGGTTAACAGGAATCCTCCCCTACCTTCTCAGCACTGTGTAGCATATTCTGTCCTGACAAGACATCTGTCTTCTAAAGTCTACTAAAGTCTTCTAAAACAACTGCCATATTTCTCTTCATCTTCAATGCATGCCTCTGCAAAGTCACCATCCAGGGCTTCTAATTTCCAATCTTACATCACCACCGCCCCTTCAGGAAGTCCCCTCTACCACTTCAGTGTTGGCACAAGCATTGCCTAAATCCAGATTTGTCAAGGAAGTGTGGTGGTGTGGATAGGGTGCTATCTTTAGAGCAAGGACGACCAAGGTTCAGTTTTTCCCTCAGATTGATTATGGCACCCTGGGCAAGTCACTTGCCTCTCTATGTCCCAAGCAACTTTCTAAGACTGTAAGGTGAAGTTGCACTGGGAGAGAGAGTTTCTTACATAAATTAAATTAAAAATCTAATACCTATCTAAACACAACGTATCAGGTTGATTTCTCTCCTCTAAGTCATGTGGGGTACTCAAAAGTAGGTTAAGTCTTTGAGGAAAGCTAGCTTTAAAAAAGTATAAAACGTTTATCAAGGGAGGGATACATGTGTGGGATACTGGCTTCTTCTTCACTGTCCAAATCATGACTTTATCTTCATTTTTGCTGGGTGAGGCTGCTTCATTTCATAAGGCTACTCAGTTATGTCATGTTTTGTTATTAATTTTCCCCAAGAATGCTTTTATCTACAATCTCATTTTATCTTCACAACATCCTTGTGAGGTTGGTAGGCAGGTACAATATTCTCCAGCTTGTGTATGAGCAAAGCCATGCCCCAAAGCATCAAGTTACTCATGCAAGGTCACATTGTGAGTTAATAAGCAAGGCCAAGGTGAGAATCCAGTTCTTTTAAATTCCAGCACAGGGCTCTTTTTTTTTTTTTTTTTTTTTTTTAGCCAATTGACATTTTAAATCTGAATTTTCCCCACTCCCAAGCCCCAATCTCTATGGACAAAAGACCGAGGTAACTCCGATAATTATGTCTCTGACAGGCATGAGAACCAGTGGACCCTCACTCTCGCTACCCAGGCTGATCAGATCTTACCAGGAAGTCTGCAGAACGGCGGGAGGGCTGGAAAAGACAGTAGGGTATGATGGAGTCATACACTGGTCAGAAAGGATAATACCCCAACAGAGGATGTCCTAGCTAGGGACCCTGAGAAGAGAACAGGATTCTCTGGGGGGGCAGCAACCATGGAGGAGGAAGGAGGATGTTACTTGCTTACCCTCCAAGGCCGCCTTCCAGCTGGTACTGCCCTCGTACCCGGATCCTGATCTTCTCAGCAGCACCTCCTGGCCCCGGCCCTCCCCGTCCCCAGGGGACAGTACTCTTGGCAAAGGAGCCGACGCGGCTGGAGCGGGTGGTGGAGGGGGCCGGCTCCTCCTGGGGGGCTCCCGGACAGGCTCCATGCCCCCCTCCCGCTCCGGTGCCCCCGCCCCTCTGCTAAAAGGCGCCTGGCACTTCCGTTACCAGGGTAGGGGGAAAACAGAGCCAGAACTGGCCAGAGACCCTCCTCTTCTCCCTCCCTCCCTCCCTCCCTCCCGGGTGAGAGCAGGAACTGAGGATGGGAGGGACGCAGAAGAGAGCTTCTGCAGCTCAGGCACAGTGGTGGTGTGTTCAGCTCTCTCCCGACCAGGATCCTTAGCAATGAGAAATGTCCCTCCCTGCTTCACTCTTCCACAGCCGCAGCATCAGCATCGCAGCATCACCTCTTGAGTTTCTCAGCTCGGGAAAGGAGGGGGGAGGGAGAGAAGAATGAGGGAGGAGAGAGAGAAAAAAGAGGAGGGAGGAGAAAAGAGGCGCCAAGGCGACGCGGGAGGCAGCCAGGCGGGAGGACCGGAGAAGTGCAATGAGGTTGGAGGGTTTCGGGAGCGAGGGGGGGATGGGGGGCAGGGAAGATGTGAGAGGTAAAAGGCTGGAGGGGTAGGCGAGCCTGGGATCAAGAGGAGGATCAGAATAGGAAGGGAGCACTAAGGGATGCGCGTGGAGAGAGGGAGCAGCAGGGTCCCCACATGGCCAGAGAAAGCTGTTAGGAGAGGCTGGTACACCAGGAACCTGCGGATAGGGGACGCGGAGTGGGCGTAGACACTGGAGAGTAATACAGCGAAAATAGGGGGATTGGAGAAGGGAGCACACAGGAGTGGGGTGGAATTTGAGAAAGGGAGATAGGGATCTCCTTTCTCACCTCCATCCCAGGTTCCCTAGCTCCCGCTCAGCCTGGAACTAGGGGGCGGGGGAAGAAAATGCACTCCCCAGAGCTGGATGGGCCGCTTAGAGGTCACAGAACGGGACGGGGGAGCTCCAGGGAGTTTTGTTAGAGATCTGCCCCAGCGGGACCTTGGACAGAGAAGTGGCTTCGCAGGAGTGTGGTGCTCTGTGCGCCTTAGGATCGGTTTGACTGGAGATCCTGCGGACCTGGTGAGGTGCTGGCGTCTGGCACTTTATGTAGAGCAAACATATTTTCTTTATTATTATAAGGATTTATTTAGAGTATAATTAATTACTAACAAAACCCCTTTCGGACTTAGAAATAGAGCTGGTATTCTTCACCTGAGGTCCACGGACAGATTTCAGGGGGTCCATGAACTTGGAGGCAAAATAAAAAATACATCTTTATTTTCACTAACCTCTGATTTCCTTCATAATCAGCCCTGTGTCTTGTTTTGTATATTTTATAAAATATTAGTCCTGTAAGGGGTCCATGGGTTTCACCAGATTGCCAGAAGGGTCCAAGACCCAACAAAAGATAAGAACGCCTAAACGGCACCAGTAGGTGGTACAATGGATAGAGCGATGAGCTTTGACTCAAGAAGACCTGAGTTCGAAAACTGTCTCCATAGACAGTTAGTAGCTATATGATCCTGGGCAAGTCACTTAACGTCTCTAAGTGTTATATAAATGCTAGTTATCATTATTATTAGTCGGAAGGAGTCTATCCACCTCAGGGCTTAATATTGTCATGGATGATGAGAGGAATAAGTCTCATCATGAAGACGTATAAGATATAGAATCTTAGAGTGAAGAGGGGTACCTAGAGATGATCTACCTCAGCCTCTTCCTTTTACAGATTAGGTAAAGAGATTTTCTCAAGATCAAATAAAACATTGGAAAGGAACTACAGGAAGAAGTAAAGCAAGACCAGAGCTCGTCCTCAAGAAACATGCATCTAACGTCCTAAGCTTAGCCTGTTTCCTCATCTTTAAAGTGAGGGTAACAATAATATCTATAGGGTTGTTGTTAAGATCAATCAAAATATATGTGAAGCATTTTACAAACATTATTATTGTTGTTGTTATTATTATTATTATCCTGACCCACTTTATTTAAAAGCAATATTTCAGGTGTAAGTCAGTATTCAGTAGCAGAGATTGACAAGTACAGAAAGTCCAAGGAGGCCGAAAGTAGAGGAATAGAAAAGTTTAGGTGGTATTACCTCCATTGTTTATGTCGTTTAATTATTTTGTCGTGTCTGACTCTCCATAATCCCATTTGGGGTTTTCTTGGCCAAGATACTAGAATAGTTTGCCATTTTCTTCTCCAGTTTATTTTACAGATGAGGAACTGAGACAAACAAGGTTAAGTGACTTGCCCAGGGTCATACAGCTAGTAAGTACGTGAGGTTGAATTTGAACTCAGGTTCTTCTGAATACAGGGCCAGTGCTCTATCCACTGCCACCTAGCTGCCACATTACTTCTGTTAGGTAGTATTTTCTAGAGTAAATGAGTTTGAAAGTAGGTTTTAAAGGAGGTAAAAAGCATGGATTGACAGAAAGGTGGGCACAAAAAATTCTTACTAGAGGAAATGGTTTATGTAAAGATACTTCAGTGAAAATAAATGTCACATGTAGGATATAGCAAGAAATAGCTTGGCTAGGAAAGAACAAATATATTAGAGAGTAAGGAGAGGTGGGTTTGGAGAGATCAATGGGAGAAGAGCCTTTGAGACCAGACTCTGTATGCAATCTTAGAAGTCAGAGAGAATTATTCTAGATTCTAAAACAAGACAATGATATGTTGGCTAACAAAGAATCATAAATGTTTAATGCTGGTCCAATCCTCTCATTATAAAGATGAGAAAATTGAGGCTCAGAGAAGTTAGGTCCTATCCAGGCTGCTCAGAAAACTTTAAATGAAGATGAGACCAAAGCATTGTAAGCCTGAAGGAACAACAGCAAAAAAAACCACTATAAAAACATAACAAAACTTTAAGACATTATTCCACTGTCTTACGTGTTTCTTTAGGGATTCTACCTCTTTTCAAAAATCTTTCAAGATCATAACAATGTAAATGAAAAGAACAATACTGGATGCTTTATAATTATAATGACCAAGTTTGGCTCCTGAGAAGAGATGAGGAAATCCAGCACTTTTCTTTGGTTGGAGAGATAAGGGATTTGGGGTGTGGAATGCTGCAGGCCCTATCAGATAGTCCACATATGTGGGGAGATATCCCTTAACTGCTTCCCTTCCCCCTTAATTTAGAAGGGAAGACTCATTAGACTGAGGAGGGATAGGGTAAGGGAAGGCCATATTCAGAAATGACTTCATACCAATAAAACTTAAAAAAAAAAAAGAAATTATTTGAATAGTTTATGCCAGAAACCACTTTGGGAGTAAGAGTTTTTCTTATTTATTTCTTACCTGAGAGGTGATTGAGTACATTTTTCCTCTGAAAAGTTTTCTTTGATTTTTTTTTTTTTTTTTTTTTGCTTTTTGGTGAGGCAATCAGGGTTAAGTGACTTGCCCAGGGTCACACAGCTAGTAAGTGTCAAATGTCTGAGGTTGGATTTGAACTCAAATCCTCCTGACTCCAAGGCCAGAGCTCTATCCACTGCACCACCTACCTGCCCCTTTTCTTTGATTCTTGTTCAGTTGCAAAATATTTTTTAAAAACATTTCAGTTACTGAGAAGCTAAGTCAGCTCTGAATATAATTACAGTGAGAATGAAAGCAAATAATAAATATATTGTAGAAAAGAATAACTTGTCCAAAATTACCCTCAGAAAATAGTCTTAGCCAAATATCCATCAGTTTATCTACTATGTGCATTTTTCTTCAAAGGGAAGTTTCTTGCTTTATTGAAATATTTTCCAGAGACTATTATAATGAAATTCATTACTCTAACATCTCAAGAATGACACAGAAATGTAGACTATAAATCAGTTTCTGTATTCCCTTTGGAAAAATGAAACTACTAGACACTTTATTAAGGTGGGAGAACTAATATTTTCAAATGAAATTCTCTTTATTGTACATTAATGCCCCCTCACCCAAATTTTTCACTTACAGATTTAGAATTTCTTAATTTCTAGACTTAAGCCAGAATTAACATAGGGTGATCGAGACTATGCCCCAGGTGGCAACATGAGAAGCATATATTTCTTTTTTTTCCCACTTAATAGTATTTTATTTTTTCCAATTACACGTAAAGATAGTTTTCAACATTCACTTTTATGAGATTCTCAGTGAAGGATATCATTTCTTTACCCTGAGCTGTTCTCTTTCATATTCCTGTGAAGATGCCTTCTGAAGTCCTTCCACAGGGTTCTGGCCTGGGGGCCTTAATGCCTGGAATCTTTGCAGGATCAGAGGGAGGAGAAGTCATCAAGGTAGGAGATTAACAGTACCTATGGTATACAATGGTCACAGACTCTCCCCCCATTACAAACTTTTGCAAAATAGGAGTAATATCTACTTTCTACCTCAGAAGATTTCTGTGGCAGGGCAGAGGGAGGAATGCTTTGCAAATTGTAAAGTGGTATTTAAAAGTGAATTTATTGTGACGTGCCCTTGGTTGACACCCAAAGTCCCACTAAGGTCCTAGGGTGTAATTATTGTTGTTGTTGTTGTTGTTTGCTAGCAGTTATATAGTGCTTTAAGATTTACAAAGTGCTTTGCATGTATTATCTCATCTGATCCTGACAACAACCCTGTGAGGCTGATGTTATTATTATCCCCATTTTGCAGATTAGGAAACCTAGGCTCAAAGAGACTGAGTGAGTTACCTAAAGCTAGTTAAGGCAGGATTGAAATTTAGGTCTTCCCATCTCCCAGTCTAGCACTCTATCCACCATGCTGCTTAGCTGCCTTTGCTAGAGAAGTATATAACATTGGGGGGAGGGGGAAAGAGGCATTAGAAAAGAATTGCCCCCTATTAGATTGTGAGCTCCTTGAGGACAGGAATTGTGTTTTGTCTCTTTTTGTATCCCCATCACTTAGTACACACAGTGCCTGGCACATAGTAGGCACCTAATAAATGTTTATTGGTAGATTGATAAGTGATTGCAAAGGGAAGTTAGGTGGCACAGCAGATAGAACACTGGGCCTGGAGTCAGGAAGACTCTTCTTTGTGAGTTCGAATCCACCCTCAGACACATACTAGCTGTTTGACTGTGGGCAAGTCACTTAA